ACGCCTGCCGAAATCAGCCATCCTCACCAGCACTGGCTGCCACCACTCTCGACCTCAGAAGAATTCCTACAGCTTTCCAACTGGGATCATCACATGTTTAACCCCTTGGTGCCAGAGAGCCTTGAGAAAGACAACGAGAGGCGTGGGGAGGACACAGAGGGAACAAGATCACCAAAACCAAATGGAGTATTTTGCTGACAGCAACAAAGACCCACACACTGTTCCCTGGTCTCCACTGAAATGCATTTACAGTGTCTCAGAGAAGGGGGGGGAAGAGAGAGAGGGAGCGGGGGAGAAAGATGGTGAGATGGGTTTTCTACTGTTCAACCCTCAAAGACCTGAAGAAGAAACAAAACATCCACAGACTGCTAAAAAATGCTCTTTTCTGAGAAAGTGCAGTTATAAGGAGAGAGCCAGAAAATCTTTAAGCAATATATATTGATATATATATATACATATATATATACACACGGAGATATATATACACACATATATATATATGCACATATATATATACACATGCTTAAGGTAAACTGTCACGGCACAGCTTGTTTCTTTGAGCTGGGTACACCCCTCCAAACAAACGCACGACAAGGAGAACGCAGAAGGCATGCAGCCCACGGACACCCCCGGACACTGCCTGCGCACGAGCCGTGTTCCCACCGGCACCGGCAGCACCCGCACATGAGCATCTCTTGCTGTCGGCCCTTAAGGTATTCAGCTTGTGTAAGACTCAGAGTTTACAAATAAAAGCATTTGTCATTGTGCTTCCACGACTGGAAAAATATCGTTACCCTATGACTATAAATGTTAACGTGAAATAGGCAAATTAGGCAGTACTACAGAGATGGATTTTTTTTTTTTTGACCTAACAAATAATTATTATTGGGAAATATTTTCGTATCACTTAGACTCTTGCTCTAACGGTACTAAGGTCTTGTGCTTTCCCTTTCCCCTCCCCAAGCCTATAGGTGGTACTTCCGCAGCAGTTCGGATTGCCAGGGGTGTTTCCTTTCTGGAAACCTGTCTGGGATTTTGATTTTGAGGAAATCCTGGATACATTTTTCTAGCTCCTCCTCAATAGAGAGCTTCTCCTTCACCGCTTTTTTCTTGCTGGAGTTGGACTCCCGGGAGCTGGAGGTGAGAGTCCGGAGCAGGTCGCTCTTCCTGCGGATCTCGGACTGCTGCAGCAGCTGCACCGGCCCCCTGGGCCGGCCGGTCCAGAGTCTGTATGTTGGGCTGGCGGGTGACGGGGCCGCAGATGACGGTCTCCTGGGGGGAGCTGGCCTCCGACTGGCTGTCGCAGCTTGATGTCGACAGCTCGTTGCACGACGTGCCGCTCTCTCCCTCCTTGTCGCCTTTGCCGTTCTTGCAGCAGCAGTCGCAGTGGGACGAGGACCACCGGGAGGGCTCACCTGCAAGAGGAACAGAGAGCGCCCCGGTGTTACCGACAGCTCCGAACCCTCCGCCTGCACCCAGAAACAGGCTGTGCGCCCACCGCCGGGCTCACTGCTGCCTGCCGAGACCTACGGGAGCGGGGAGGTAGCCGGCGTGGCAGGAGACCTCTCAGGGAGCTTTTCTGAACTGTCAGCAAAACCTCCACCCGGTCTCCAGTGGGGGCTGGTTGCCATTAATGCTGGAGCTCCTTCATCCGCTCCACTCGCATGTGCTGCTCAGTCCCCTGCGGGTCCCCTGAGCCATCCAGCGCGTGTCTGAAAGGTCTCCGAGATCCTCAGTGAGAAACAGTCACACAAGGATCCAGCCAGGTGTCTAATCAGCCCCAGCAACCACTGCCTCGGGAACACTAACTGCTTTTCAGGCTTGTAATGACCTGCTACTTCCTCCGCCCACCAACCCGAGGCCAAACCCTGCATGGATCACACCGGCTTTTTCTCCCTTAAGAGAAAATCCTGATGAAGTCCACAGAAATTTGGCCTGAGGAAAGACAGAAAAAACAAAATGAGGACTTCAGATTTCGTCATTCCCAACGCATTCCTCCGTGTTATACCCGTGTGGGGGGCTCCTTTGAAGCCAGTAACCTCATAGGCACGAATAGAGGTTTCAGGGCCAAGGCCAAGGTTACTAGTACAAAACAGACCAACAATGATGAATTTTTGGCTGCCAGAGGAA